ATGCCCTAACTATGAATTTTTGGACAGGTCACTGAGCTTTATTTTTTGCACACGTAAAATGAGAATAATAAAACAGTTATCCTTATAGGGTTGTTGTATTACACAAGTGTTAAGAACCATGAAGTGTCTGAGATTTTACTCTACCTGCAAGCTAACATGTTAGCCTGCCAGTTTCATGGGTGCTGGTAGAAGACAAGAGACTCCTGGGTCAAAAACAATGGATAGTTAATTATTCATAGCAATGGAAGTAGCCGAAGTATCAATATTTGTGTTGCTTCCCCAAACCCAACTCCCACAGGATAATACAAAGAGAGCCAGATGACACCTGCAGAAGCAATGGGTTGCACCACAGGAGAAGAATCTCAAGCTCAGGAAACACAAATCTTTTATAATGGGTCATAAGCACACCAGCCCTTAGTTCCAGAAGGAGATACTATCTATATTTTCCAAGGCTGTAAACAAACCTGCTCTTTGCCAAGGTGCGAGACACTATTTCTAGCTTCTAGGACTGTTCTCTCTATATACATCCTTGAAAAGGTAATCTGGAATAAGGGACAGTGAGTACCTCTGCTCCTAAGACAGGCAGAAATGCAAGAGACCCATGGAGAATTGTCTCCCAATGGGATAATTCATTTAAAGCACTTAGCACAGTACCTAGGATGTGGTAAGTGCTCAATAAAAATTAACCCCCTTTAACATCATCACCACCATTAATACATTATCTACTGACTCCCAAGCCAAACTGTAAAGTAAATGAAGATGGTTTGTTTTGTTTAAAAAAAGAGTAGTCAATGGACCAAATTATGGTAGAAATTATATATATTGTAAAAACTACTTACTCAAGATAAAATTTTATCATCAAAATATTCTTCACCCTGAATTCAAAACAAACTATAATTTATTTGGACGTTGAGCATTTAAGTCAGATACCTACCCAAGAAAAAAAATTATATATATGATAATTCATTCACAGACGACCGAGAATTATGGATCTTTCAAGTGGTAAATTCAAGTCACCATTCTCAAGGAAAGCAATTGCAATCTGCCACCTAAGGGTACAGGTAGCTGGTTCAAAATCTGTCTGTCAATGATGGACTAAAATGGGAGTAAAGGTAGAGAAATAACCAAGGTAAATTCAAAATATTCCCTGCCACCACCATCATCTCCACCATGGTATGAGTGATCCCTGCTTTATTGTTTGGTTGAAAACCATTTTAAGAGAGTCAATCTGCTGCACATCATAAAACAAACAAAAAGGTCTTCAGAAATCTGTGGAAAACCCTGATGTTTCTGTCAAAAACAACAATAAAACTCTCTTACAGAGAGCCTTCCCCAACCAATTTCACTGACTCTAATAACTATTTCTTATTTCTTCACTGCTTCTTATTTAGATTACACTGATATTTATGTTGTTTCATAATTATTCTCATAGTATTCACAAAGGTTTTGCTTTATTGTCTGTTACACTGCAAACTCTTCAAAAGCACTGTTTTCTTTGTATGTGGTTATCTTCCTCCCCATACAGTAGATTCCAGAGTATTCTCCTTCCCTGTCTTTGTGTTGAAAATTATATACGTTAATTGTCTTAACAACTGAGAAGTCATACCCCATGCTTCCATGATCTATTCTCTGACCTCTGCCTACCCACCATAGCTGTTGCTGTCAGAGATCTTGAAAGACTTGTCAACAGTCAAAATTTCTGTGTATTGCTCTAATTCACTCTATGACCCACTATCATCTGGCTTCTGCCCCCATCATTCTATTGAATTACTATCACTAGACTCCTTAAGGATTCCTCATTAGCCAAATCTAATGACCTCTTGTTCACTCTCATCCTATCTGACCTCTGTACATTATTTGAAACTTGTAACTTTCCTTCAACTTTCTAAATCTCTCCTTACTTCTAAGATAACCTCTCTCTTATGATTGTTTACTTCTCCGACCATGCCTTATAACTCTATTACTGGCTTTTCGTCCTTGGCCTATCCCCAAAATGTTGGCCATCTTCCCTGAGGCCCTCCAGATTCCTTCTTTTTTTCTGTTTGTTTGTGTTTTTCTTCTCTCCCTCCAACCCTCATCTTCAGCAATTTTGTTCAAGCACTAGGTTCCAACTACAAACTAAGTGCTGAACACATCCAAGTCTATAACACTTTTCTCTAGTTCTGTCCTGCCCCCTAAGTTTCAGCCCAGTATAGCCATCTAACTATGATTCCATATCACTGTCATGAAGGCACTTATCAGTCCCAAACTGAACTTATTCTCTCTCCCCTACAGTCTGATCTGCCTTCTATAATATCTATCATGATTAGATACATCACTAATCATACCACCTAGTTTCTCAAGTCAGGTACCTCAAAATCATCCTTCACTCGACTTCCCCATACTTATTTCCTATTGGAAATAGGTAATTGGTTAACAAGTAGTGTGAATTCTATTTCAAAGTTCTCTCCTTATCTGATATCTCATCTAGGTCCTGCCACAGTTCAAGCCCTAATTGTGTTTTGCCTGCACTATTGAAGTAGCATCCTAATAGGTTTCCCTGTCTTCATTTTCTCCCTCCTCTAATCCTTTGGCCAAAAGAAATGATTTACTTTTAATTTTCTAAAAGAGTTTATAAGCAGAAGTGGCAGAATGGTAGCACACAGAGACAAAGATCATAAGCTGAAGTCCATGTTTAAAGTGTTATAGAAGGAATAAAAAGGATAGGGTAAAAGAGACTCTGAGGCTAGAGGAAGAGAAGGTAAAGGAGTAAGCAGGTCAGCTATAAAACCATCAACGAGAGTGGACAGTGGTAGAAAGGAAGAGATTGATGCGGTTGGCAGGCCAGGGATCTGTCCTAGGCACTCTGCTCTTCTTGCTCTATATTCTCTCCCTGGGTTATTTCAACCACTGCTTTGAATCCAACTTTCACCCCTCAGTACTACATCTCTAGAACATGTAGAGAGACATGCCCTGATGTCTCTCCTAAGTTCTATACTCATACATCTAACTACCTATGGGGTATCTCTATTAGGGTGCCCCACAAGTATCTCAATATCAATATGTCTAAAAGTGAACTCATCTCAAACAGTTTCTCCTTCATTCTGTGTCTAAATCTATAACTTCACTATCTACTTAGTTTCCCATAGCAGAAACTTGGGAATTACCCTGCTCATTTTCTCATCCCATCCCTGACATTCCTATGAATTCTACCTACCAAATGACCCTCTACACTCTTCTCTCAATCCCAACTTTCACTGCCTCAGTTTACATCTTGAATTACTGTGGCATCCCCCTAATGGGTCTCACTGAAGGAAGAAGTATCTTCCTTCTTTCCCCACCATTCCAATTTCTACATTATTTCCTGAATGCTCTTTCTACAGAAATCACTCTATAATAAGGCAAAACATGAACCCTTCCCACCGAAGTCTGATAAACAAAATTCACAAATTGAAATGGAAAGAAAATACAAGATAATTTAAAAGCGAGCTAAAACAGTGGGATTTATACCTCTGGAATTTAACCACCTTCTTAGGTAATATTTTAATGCCTGATTTATTATTTTTCTCTCACGACCTAAGACCCTTAAAGAAGAAATGTTGTCTTTTTCAATGCAGTTCATAAAACAGAACATAATGCCCATATAACAAATAATGAATGTCAGATTTTTCACTTGGAAAAATAAATTAAAACCCAAGATGAGTGTATCTCTGCATGGCTAGTCCCTTGGGTACACAAATGATGGGTAAGAAGAGAACAAAAAGAGTTAAATTAGAAAGGTAGACTGTGGTGAAATTCTAACATCAGGCCAAGGAGTGTGTCACAGGAAGCCATCAAACATTTTTAAGCTTGAAAGTAGGAAGATCATAGGAAAGATTAGGAAGAGATTAGGAATTAGAAAGAGATTCAAGTCAAGGAGATTATTTAGGAAGTGACATGGGCTTCCTCATTCCCTAAATAAGACCGGATATCAAAGAAGTTTCTGAGGTAGTAGCAACAAGACTTAGTGACCAATTTGATATGTTATTAAAGGAAGGAGGTGTTGATGATTTTGAGGTTTCTCTACAGCACAACATAGGAATATAGGAGGAGAATCATCTCTTGGGGGACAGGGTGAGTTATATTGTGAACATTTGGATTTTGTATGTCTACCATCTACCTTTGGCAAACTACAGGCCAAATCCTGCCAGCTGTCTATTTTCCTAAAAAAAGTTTCCTGAAACATAGGCACACTCATTTCTTCAAGTATTGTTTATGACTGCTTTTGTGCTATAAATGGTTGGGACAGAAGTCTTTTGCCTACAAACGCCTCAAATAATTACTATCTGGCCCTTTACAGAAAAACTTTACTGACCCTTGTATTAGAGTTCACGAGTATCTAGAACAGGAGCTACAGTCTTCCTCCAATGGGGGCGCCAGAGGCCACTGAGAGGTTGGGGCTATCACCTGCTCTAGAACATTCCATCTCTAGGAGGAGAGGGCCCCTGGTATGGGACAAACCATTATGGTGGGGGGGACATTTTGGACTTGATTACAAGCGCTTCCCGTATTTCTAAGTCTTTTATGACCACTCCTATTTCTTCCCGCCTTCAAGGACTTTCAACAGAGTAGCGGGTTCCCTTATATCTCGGGGTGGGGGGAGGGACCTTCCTCCTCGTTCATTCCCTCCCACCCCTGCTGTCTCTGGAAGTTGGAACAGTCCCAGGGTAAAAGCCTAGAGGAGAACGGTTGGTTGGCGCGAAGCTTCCTCTTCTCAGAGGCCTTGGAGAGCAAGGTACCCTGTGTCTCTTCGGGAGTGATAGGCGGGCGTGGTCGGCCTGCACCTTTTCTGTCCCTGGCTGGAGAGGTGAGGCCTGGTGGGAAAAGCCCTAGGGCAGAGCAAGCCGGTCAGGGGTCTTTACAATGGTATGAGGGGGGAGGGGAAGGGCAATGGAGGGGAGGAGACCGAGGGGGGAGGGGCGGGGACAACTGATTGATTCATCCCCACAGGGCCAGTCAAGCCCCTCAGGCCCTCAGCCGTCATGGCCTTGAAACCTGAGGACCCCTGCGGTGGGTTCCAGCATGGCGAGGTAGTGGCCTTCATCAACGAGAAAATGGCCAGGCACGCAAAAGGCCCTGAGTTCTACCTCGAGAATATATCCCTGTCCTGGGAGGAGGTGGAAGACAAGCTCAGGGCCATCCTGGAGGACGGTGCGGTGCCCAGCGAGGCCAAAGAGGCCTGCGCCTGGAGCAGTCTGGCCCTGGGCGTGCGCTTCGCCTGCAGGCAGGGCCAGTTACACGAGCGCAGGGTGCAGCGGCTGCAAGACTTGGCCAAAGTGCACAAGTCCACCACGGAGGAGTTGGCCTCAGACCTGAAAAAGCTCACAGCTCAGCAGGAGATGGAGCGCAAGGAGGCAGCCTTTCGGCTGCGGCAGACGCAGGCCAACCTGATGGAGATGCGGAAGGAAAGGGACCTCCTGAAGTGGAAGCTCCTCCGGGCTGTAAGATTACCCGAACTTAGTCCCTGCCCCGTCTCCCCGCTCTGCCCCGCGTCCCCAGAACTGGTCTCAACTGTCCCCACTTCTCTCCAGGAGCTGGGGTCTCCCCGGGAGCAGGTCGACAAGGAGCCAGTCCGGGCCACTGCCAGTGGGGCTGGGACAGAAAGAGCAGGTGAGAAGAAAGAGGAGGTGAGCGTGGCTGCTGCTACTACTGCCACCGCCGCTGGCGCTGCAGGAGGAGGAGGAAGACAGAAGGATGCGGAGGGGGAGGAGGCTGCAAAGGAGCTGGGTGGAGGCCTTGTGCAGCTTCTTGGAGCTCTGGAGCAGAAAAATTACCCCTCTGGCGGGCAGAGGGAGGGAGGTCTCAGGTCTGCGGAAACAGCCATGTTTTACTTCTCTGAGACCATGGAGCCCGGGTCCACAGTTTCCCCAGCACCCCTTCCTGTGCAGCTCCCGGCCTCATTCACATACTCCTATTCATGCCCCTTACTCCCTTTTCCAGATGCACCCACAGCATCCCCACCAGCAGCAATGTTCAGGGCAGGAGCTCCGTCTCAGTCGTCTCCTCACTGGGGGCCCTCTAATGTTAGCTTATGGCCTGATGTGGGGGCCCAGGGAATAGATCCTGAATCCCAGAGAGACAAGAGAGGCTTCGATCCCCATGGTCAGGGAAGACCTCCAGTATTTCGCAGGCCCGGGGACTGGGACTGCCCTTGGTGTAAGGCTGTGAATTTTTCACGGAGGGAAATTTGCTTCCGCTGTGGGAGGGGAATCTGGCTACAAAACCCTTGAATTCAAAAATGTGAAACAGAACAGAAACATCCCAATGGGAAATCAATTTTCAGAGGGAGGGGAAGAGGTAGGGGAGGGTTTGGGAAGAGTGGGAGGGGGAGGGTGAGTTGGCGGATGGGACAAGGGGGTTGTGAGAGAGGTGGGGAAGTGGGGTGGGGTGTGGGGTGGCAGCTGGGGAGGGTGTAGATTGGGGGTCTGGGGGGGAGAGAGACATAGAGACATGTTTTGATGACCCCCTTTGTGTTCCAGAGCATTAGCATTCCACACCCCAGCAGTGCTGCAGCTTCTATTTGTGTGTGTGTCTCTCCCCCACCCTAGTCTCTGGTGGACCTGGGCAGCCATGTATATAACGACTCACTCCCTCCTGCCACCTGGGCTATAGATGATTGGCGCAGGAGTGGACCTTTGACCCCTCCTGAGCAAAACAGGTTCTCACACTAGAGAATCTGAACAGAGGCAGATTCCACAGTCAGGATGGTGCTGGGCAATGAAACAGTGGGTCACTTGGAGTTGGGGCCAAGGTCAGAGCCATGGACACTGAGGCCACAGCGGAGCCCTGGCTTTGGGGCAGCAGAACCATGTGCTTTACAGAGGCCAAGTGTCTTTTAGAGGGTGACAGTATGAGGTCCCAGGGAGCACACAGGCACAGAGAAGCAGAGAGGAGTTGATACTGTGACCCCAGAGATGGCGAGAGTGGCGGCCTGACCGCTTTTCCATTTGCTGCAATTGTGCTTTGTGAAAAGCCACTTTACACAGATCCCCTTTTCTTTAAGCTAAATTGAGTGGGTTCCTGTTCTGGGCAACCAGGTTATTTCCAAGACAGAAACTGGCACCAGAAGAGCAGTTGCAAACCACAGACCATCAAAGAAAATGTTGGAACTGGCTGGGGAGGTTCCTCAGAGAGTGAGAGGTAGTGGGGATTCCTGCATCCCCAGAGTCCCCAGGAATGAACTGGACAGGAAGCTCTTTCATGTTCTGGGTGAGTTATATCACGAGAAACAATCAAAACAGGCCTGGGGCAACCCGGGCTTACAACATGGCAGAGATCTGCCATCTCTAAGGGAATCCCTCAGGGCTGCATACAGAGGACAACGAGAGCAGAGGACGGCTGTGGCTGTTCAGCCCCTTGACAGGAGAATCCTCCCCAGTCCACAGTGGGCAGCACTGGGGACAGTCAGATCTGATCAAGGAACTCATGCCACTGCCAAGGAAGTGAGTCAGCAAACTGATAGTGCCTGGAGGGTTTGCTGGGCCAGACCACTGACCAAAGTATGGTGCCATCCTGAGAGATCCTTTCCCCTAACCCACCACCAGGATAACAGTAGGAGGGGAATCTGGCTATGAAGCCCTCAGTGAATTCAGAAATGTGGAATAGAACATATCCCAATGGGAAATCAATGTCCAGAGGGAGGGGGTGAACCGCGAGGGGGGGGAAGGTCTGCATCTCCCCCTCTGACGACTGTAAGCTATCTTGGGGGGCAGGGCTAAATGCATGGTTTAGCCTGCAGGTGGCAGGATGGTGCGGAGTCACACCTGGACCAGACTGAGACAGCTGGAGGAGCCCTCGACATCGCCTGGAGACTGGACCTAGGGACTGAAGCTGTCATGGCCCTGGGACATCTCTGCAACAGCTGGATGTGACCTTGGGCTGTCTCCTGTTGGGGGAGATGTGGACAACCATCACGATTGTGGGCAAGATCCCCAACTTGCACTTGTCAGAAATGTCCTTGGGCTCATTTCCATCCTTCTAGAGCAGGGTTTCCCAAGCTCAACACTCTTGACACATGAGGTTGGGTAATTCTTTGCTGCAGGGGGCTGTCCAGTACACTGTAGGACGTTTGGCAGAATCCCTGGCCTCTACCCAGTAGATGCCAGTAGCACATCCCCCCCGAGTTGTGACGACCAAAAATGTCTCCAGATATTGCCACAGGTCCACTGGGGAGCGAAATCACCCCTGGTGAGAACCATGGAGGCAATGAGGTACTTAGGAGTAGTCAGAACAGGGGGAAGAGAGTTGCAGGGGAGCATGCTCAGCAGTGCCGGGGCTGCAGGGGGCCCCTAAGATGAGAGGTGAAAAGTGTCCATTGGGTCTGGCGTTCACTTTTGATCTTTGAGCAGATCTGGGCGGGGGAGGGGCATAAGCCCACCTGCAAGGACTGAGCAGTGAGCAGGAAGGGAGGATGCGCAGTCAGTGAGGGAGGCTCTTCTTCAAGGACTCCTGGCTGTGGAGGGAAGGAGGGAGGTGGGATACATGGCTGAGAGAGGGTTCTTTTGGATATGGGAGAAACTTGAGCCATGGGGAAGGAGATAGCTGAAGAAAGCTTGAAAACGCAAGAAATATGTAAAAGAATGAGGTAGATCCCGCATACTGTATTAGAGCCATGTCCACTGTATGGTTCAATGAAAAAAAGTCCTATGACAGGATCCCTTTTGCTTTTTGTAAAATACCCCCCAAAATTCTGTAAGTGTGTATACGTATGATATATAGATATATAGATTTATGTTTGCTTTATATTATCGATTTATGATTAAGCATAGAAATGGTCTGGAAAAACTTGTTTCTTCAGAAAAATGGAGTAGGGTAGGGGTGGTAGGATAGAGGGCTTTTACTTTATATTCTTCTGTGTTGTGAAAGTAAAAGAATTAAATGTTCACAAATATACAAAAAATAAAAGGAAGTGAATTTATTTTTTTGGTATTACTTTACTTTTACAATTACTTTAATTGGCTTGGTAGGTTTGGAATGGCCACCTCTTCCTCTGGGACAGAAGGAAAGGAGAGCAGACACTGATCTGTGTGATAAGGGGGTGGGAAACCAAGAGGGCTCCTGCCTGTGTGTCCTTTAGACAAAGCAACTGAGAGTCAGTGAGGACACAAGGTCCAGGTGGGGGTGGGGCTTTTGGACAATGGCATATTTAGGAATAACTTTGGGGGTGGGGGGTGGGGGAGAGGAAGGAAAGGATTATCAAGCTGCACAGAGGACTCAATCGGGATAGGGCCCAACTGAAAGAAAATCAAAGGGTAGGGCAGTGGGAGCCTAGGAAGGGGCACTGGAAAGGAAGGAGAGTAGTGCCAGGAGGGGTACCAAACACAAATTTCTGTGTTACAACTTGTTTTCATAACATTTTCTTCAGTAAAAGATTCAGTCAGTTTGTTTGGATTGAGGTTTTACGTTTGGCAGGATTAAGGAAAGATACTGACACTTTCATGATTTCATGTGTTATACCCATTTTAAAGGTTTTTCTCTGTTAGTCCAGAGGAAAGAATTTAATAAACTAAAATTAATTCCACTTCTGTCACTAAATATCTTCAACAAATTCAGTAGAGGTGATCTGACTTGGCCTTTGAGCCCTGGGGCTAGCATGCTTAGAGAGAGGGGCAGCTAAAGAGATTTTGTTGTTAGTGCCCTCCAGCTGATTCAGACTCCAGACTCCAGGCTCCTAGTGACCTTGTGTACAGCAGAGCTTACCCCTGCCCCGTCTTTTTACACCATCCTCTCACCTTCTGGTGCTGTATCAGACAATGCTCCACTGCTATTCACAGGGTTTTCATGGCCAATTTTTTCAGAAGTGGGTGGCCAGGTCCTTCATCCTAGTCTGCCTTAGTCTGGAAGCTCCGCTGAAACCTGTCCACCATGGGTGACCCTGCTGGTATTTGAAATACTATTGGCATAGCTCTCAGCATCACAACAACATGCAGTCACCACAGTATGACAACCAACAGATAACAGATGGTGGTATGGTTCCCTGACCAGGAAACGAACCTGGGCTGCAGTGGTGAGAGCACCAAATCTTAAGCACTAGACCACCAGGGATGGCTAAATAAGACAGCTTTAAAAACTATGTTGTTTGAAGAAGACTCAGCTCTAATGGGCAAGGGAAGGAGATGGAAATTTCACAGGGGTCAACGTCTTAGTCAAAATCGGTGATTTTTTACTTCTAGAAAAATGATAGTCATCCTCGCTGGGCTTACCATTTGAGATAATGGCAAGCAAAGTAGTGAAAGAGAATGACCTGTTAACCTCCCTCTTTCTAATGACCTATCCACATGCTGGGAACTCAAACTTGGCTCCACCTGTCTCTAAAATAATGGAAAGTAAAAATAGGCCATATTCTATTTAGAAAAAACAATGCTTTTTCACCCATGCTTTATGTTATGCAGGCTTAAAGTCAAAAGTTTGCCAGAGTGTTTGTACAAAGACATTACTTAATAGGAAACTTCCCTAAATGTCTTAAAAATCAGAAATTTCTGTGACTTTGCACCCTGTTGTAAAATACTGGTTTTCCCAGCATCATTCTGTGCACCGTCATCTCATAATAATTGCCTTCCTGCTATCTATTTCTGTTTCTATTGGTAAAACTTAAAATATTAGAAAACAAAAGTGTTCATGTGACCAAATTAAAAACCTCCAGGGGCCGGCCCCGTGGCTTAGTGGTTAAGTGCGCGCGCTCTGCTACTGGCGGCCCAGGTTTGGATCCCGGGCGCACACCGATGCACTGCTTGTCTGGCCATGCTGAGGAGGCATCCCACATACAGCAACTAGAAGGATGTGCAACTATGACATACAACTATCTACTGGGGCCTTGGGGAGAAAAAATAATAAAATAAAATAAAAACCTCCAGATCCTAGTGACCTAAGGGTTCCAGCCAGTAAGCAGCAACCAACATGTACAGAAAGCCTGCTCTATGTATGTGTAAAGTATGCAAGGGGGCAGTCCAGGGGTAAGCTTTAGACCCAGTTAAAAAGGAGGAGACAAAGAGAAAGAGATCTCTTGCCTGGGAGTAAAAGAAATGAATGCAAATATGAAACATGGTTAAACCACTCTTAGTGGAAGCTGTTGGAAGGGAGCAGGGTAATGGGGCTGAAAAATAAAAAATGCATATGGCATCTCTCTACCCAGATAAGTGTATATTGCCTTTGTATTGAAGAATATGATCTGGTCTGGAAATGAGTGTGTGTAGATTAGTGTTAACCTGGGTCTTGTTTTAATGAGATCAAG